GACGACAGGCTCGGTCATCGTTGCCTCTGACATGGTGATGTTTGAATTCCAAGTGGTGTAGCTCAGTTTCTTTGCGGAAGAGCAGCCACATAGCTCTGCGCCAGCATTCCTTGGTATATCGGCTGAGACGAAAATGCGATCAAAAGATCTGGGGACGATCGCTTCATTCAATGCTTGCTCTTCGCCGGAGATACTAGGAAAGATGAGATGAAGGACTGAGTCGAGAGTGGCCGGATGGACTACATGAGGGAACTCAAATCCCTTGGGCATGATAGCCTTAGTGTCAGGCACCTTGATGACACCATAACTGGCGTTGGGCCCAGCGTACAGCTCCGTCATATTTCGGAAAGTTGGCCCGTACTGCATACCAATTGTCTCGACTGTGTCGTATAGGAAGCTCCGCGCCGGCTTCTGGCAGATTCTTCGAGCCTCGGCAAGGGAAGACATGTAGCGTTCATTCTCCAGTGCCACCTCGCGCTCCATAGATGGGGAGAAGGCCTTGAAGGCGACGGAGACTAGACCACGGGCATGCGCACTCCAAGAACTCATCTCTTCACTCCAAGAAAAGATAGTGAACTCGTAGAGTGTGGAGGACGGCGCTGCTCGTGTTCCAGTGCGACGATTGTGCAGCTGCGTCATGACCTCAATGCCCTTCTCAGTGTCAGGTACACGAAGTGCAGTATCGATGTTAACATCGCGCAACTCGAAACCATATATCTCGTCGGCATTCGTCTCCTGAGCCAGCTGGTGCGCCGCTTCGATTGCCATGGCGAGCATGCCAGCACCTGGGTAGAGGATGTCGCCTTGGACCTTATGCTCGCGGATCCAGGGGTTCTCGTTGCACCGTAGGAAGTTGCGCCATGTGTGCTCTGGCGTTCCAAGCAGGCGATAGCCTACGAGATCTGTGCGCGGTGACTGACGAAGGCGGTGCTGACGACTCAAGTGGGATTCCTCCCAATACGGCTTATGGTTCCAAGCATAGGGAGGGAGATCGACTAGCATGTTGATGCTATCAGAGGATACATCATTGACTTTGCTCAGATCGACCTTGCATCCATGCGCCCAAAGATGACCCATGGCCTCCAGCGCGGTAACAGCGCCATCGAAATGTCGGCGAAGAAGAGTGGTGTACGTCGTATCCCCACCACAGTTCTCGTTGCTGAAGATGTCCAAGAGGTAGCTGCGCAAGGCTGAGTGAGGACCGAGCTCAACGAACAGATTGGCGAAAGCTTTGCGCGATTTGCTCTCCTGTGGGTAACATAAAAGGGAGCGGGTGGCTGCGACAAAGTTCACGGGAGAAACCAAGTTATCTACCCAGTACGAAGGCTTCATCTGTGTAGGGTTAACCAGTGTACCTGTTACGGATGAGAACATAGGAATGGTCGACGTTGAGCCATGCGCGATACCCTCCAGAGCTTTTTCATATTTCTCGCGGGCTGCCTCCATGTGAAAAGAATGGTATGCAACATCCATAGGCAGTCGGGTGCATGCTACCTGCGCGTATTTCAATACTGTCTGTAGCTCGTCAATGGCGGACGTATCGCCAGTGACAGTGCAAGCCTTGGTGGAGTTGAAGCATCCTACGACTGCCTTGCCGCTCTTCAGGCATTCGAGGTGACTCTGTATGCTATCGGCACTGGCAGAAACGGCCAACATGCCGCCATCCTTGGAGACGGTCTTGCTAACCTGTCCTCTGAGCCAAGCGATCTTGATTGCTGCCTCTTGGTCGATGAAGCCGGCAGCGTAGGCAGCCGCAATCTCGCCGCTGGAATGACCAAGGACAGCAACAGGTCGCACTTCGAAGCCGCTCATGAGATCTACGAGCGCAACCTGGACGGCTGTACAGGCCGGCTGGCTGTAGTCAGTTTCGCGCAGCCTGCACTGAGCCTCGCTTCGATTCAGCTCCTCAGCAAGACTCCATGGGCAGCCGAACGACTTGAGCATAACCTCCGATCTCTGCATGCTCTCAGCGAAAGTCTTGTAGACAGAAAGGCCTCTTCCCATTGCGTGCCATTGTGCACCCTGGCCCGTGAAAACGAAGGCGATTCGTGGTATCGCAGAGGCAGAGGAACGGACCACGGGAGGGAGGCTTGAGATCTTTTCTCGAAGGCCGCTGACACTCGATGACACGGCATAAGATTTCCACGGCAGCACAGTTCTTTTGGCGCTCAGCGTGTATGTCAGGTCGTTGAGGAAAGAAGGTGCGGTAGAGGTCTTAGAAGCAAGATACCCTTGTAGGCGCTCAGCACTGCGCTTGACACCGTCTTGATCGTTGGAAGATAGTACGAGCAACTTCGGCGTGGGATGGACGTCGCGCAGCACCTCGCTCGATACGTCGCTGATGTTGTCGCTGGATTCACCGCTCGTCGCCTCGTCGGTGACTGTGCTTGCAGAGCTGCTGGGGCTGTCACTGAGATGGCTGACGCGCACACTGCTCAGACTGGGAAGGAGCGGTGCCGTTGTATGTCGACCCTTTAAGCCATGACGTGACAGGAAAGATGCTGCATCTTCGAGGATGGCATGTGCGTTTGCACCACCAAAGCCGAAGCTATTGACGCTTGCGCGGCGAGGTCCGTTATGCGGCCACGGTGTTAACTTGGAGGCTATCTTGACATTTTCCGGCAAATCGATCTCAGGATTGAGCTTCTCAAACCTGGACGTTGTCAGTAAGGGGCGGATCAAGGGTTTCACCGATGTACCAACCAAAGATTCGGAGGTATCATGCCACGCTCAACGATCAGTGCAGCCTTGATGATACCAGCTACACCAGCTGCTCCCTCTAGATGTCCAATGTTCGTCTTGACAGATCCGACATAAAGATCCGACCTGCGGCCCTCGACCGATCCAACTGTGTTCAGGATCGCTCGGGCCTCCAACGGGTCGCCAGCCTGTGTGCCCGTTCCATGTGCCTCGACATACCCCGTCTCTGCTGGATCTACGCCAGCCATCTGGTATGCTCTTCGAATCAACTCTTGTTGCGCCTCACTGTTAGGCAGTGAGATACCAGGCGTGTGGCCGTCTTCATTGGCGGCTGTGGCCAGCACGACCGCTCGAATGTTGTCACCATCGCGCAACGCTGCATCCAGAGGCTACGTATTGTCACCTGTCAACCGAATGTCTCGCATTCAAGAATGGCCATTGCGCCGGATACATACCTTCAAAATTGTGACGCCAAAGCCTTCTCCGCGCGCAAAACCATTCGCATTCGCATCCCACATCTTGCTCTTACCTTCCGGCGACAGGATCTTTGCAGCTCCTAACAAGATGGACATATCCGGTCCAAACATGAGATTGGCGCCTCCAACCACGCTCATCTCAGCTTCTCCTGTACGAATGCTTTGACATGCCAAGTGAAATGCAGTCAAACTAGATGAGCAAGCCGTGTCGACCGTGAGGGAAGGGCCTCGAAGATTGTAGAACCACGATAACCTGTTGGAAGCCAGTGATGCTGACATGCCAGTTGCGTGGTATATGGAAGGACCTTCGTTATCGCGTGCTTGCAAGTTGGGAAAGTCTGCTGTGAAGGTGCCAATGTAGCAGGATGTCTGTGTGCCTGAAACCTTCTCCAGGCTCAAGCCGGCATTCTCAAAGCCCTCGTACGTAGCCTCCAAAAGGATGCGATGCGTCGGGTCCATGGCCTTTGCCTCTTTTGGTGTGATGCTGAAGAATGGAGCATCAAACACCTTGAAGTCTTGTTGCAAGAAGTGGGCATGCCTGTCGCGATGGGCGATTAGCATAGGGAGCATACTACAGGAAGAACGGTATAGAGCCTACCTTTGTTGAATACTGCCTAGTCGTTCTGCATCGGGATGGTAGAAAGCGTCGACATTGTAACGATCTTTAGGGATCTTAGTCCGTGCATTACGGCCTTCCACGAGCATGCGGTAGAAGGCCTCTGGATCTCGAGCGTCGCCAGGCCCCCGAAAAGCGATACCAATAATGGCGACTGGCTTGTTCATGGTGGCAGCTCTGTGATGGGAGATACTAAAGAGGAATGGCAGCCAATTGGGAAAGTCTGATTCAGAGATGCCTAAACGAAAAGTCACACTCGAATGAGAGGCAATGGGTGTATGATGTGCTATGGAAATACTATTTAACGAAATCTGGCGTGGAAACTACAGGTACATATCGTCTTCGAAGGTAACGTCTGCTATCCATTCACTAATCGTACAGGTGTTGCGTCAAGACCGAGCAGCTGCCATATCTGGGAAGATTTCTCGTCTTTCGATTCGGCAGAAGTAATATGAAGTCGGTCAAACATTTTGAAGAAAGCATCCAATCCCACTTTGTCGTTCGAGCACGCTGCATGGCGATTCCCCGGATACACGCGTGCAAAGGATATACGGAGTGGGTTCTCGAAACACCGATCCAGAGCGATTACGGTTCCTTCCGCTCTCAACCCAGTCCGCACTGTATGAGTATAACCCGACTATAGGCAAAAGTCCTGACTCGTGGTGTTGACGGCTCGTCGCTCTCGGAGTAAGTCTTTCTTGGGCGTGAAAGCGACTAGGGTAGACGAGGGCTGTCATCGCCGTGGAGTTCACTATTGTCCCCACTACTTACACCAACACTATATGGACCCACTGAAGGCCCGTATACTCGGACAATTATGAGCGTCGGCTCTAAAATTTTCCCCAGATCGTATGCTTCTGGGAATCATTCGAGGCTCGACATGAGTCGTAATACGCTATAGTGTCTGCTCGTCTCTGCGACCGAGAGCTCCCAGTTTCCGAAGTTAGGTTAGGATCCACAGGCCTCTCTCCGTGCTGACATATACTCAAGCGGCGTTTTGCTACTCAGTAAGCAGTTGTGATCAGATCTGCTAAGCTGCTGGACCTTTCGACAGGCTTCATAGTACACGAATGAAGCTATCGCAATGCCGAGAGAGACATGCGTATTCGCAAGAAAAACCATTTTGCCCCCAATGGCACTTTGATAGATGGCATCTTCTGATGGGCCATATCTACATTAAAAACTGCTCTAAGACCGGCAAAAATACCTCATGACTCAAGAAGTGGCTGGTACCATCGAAACACATTATCGGGATCGTACTTCTGCTTGAGATTCCGCAGTTTCTCCAGCCTCCACGGCTCGTAGCCATATAGCGCCTCTGGCGGATCCTTCATAGTCGACGTACCGTTGCCATAGCTCACGTATTGCTGCAAACGACCATACCCAGACGTGTCAATGAAGCGTCTCTTCCAGTAATTGAGGTGATCCTCAAAGACCTTTCGATCCTCCATTCGCTTTGGTGTAGCATTCAGCATTCTACAGCTCTCATATTAGGGGCTGTTTTCGAGAGGGGTCAATGGAGTTGACTCACAGGAAATGGTTTGACCCTCCACGCCACGGAAACGCCGTCGCATCATCAGAAATCTCGCGAACACGCTGATCGGGTAGACACTCAAACATGGCGCTGAACCAGCCACGATCTTCCCACTTCTCACTCATGGATTTGACGCTCTCGAAGAACTCACGTGTCGTCTTCAGGTCGAACGTTTCGACGCAAGCGGCCCCCATCATCTTGTAGGGACCACGGAGCCAGATTTCGGGCTTGCAGAAGAGCTTGTTCATCTCTTTGTACGTTGCGTAAGGTAGTTCTGGCCATGGTATCGATTTTCGCCCACTACTCAAGACTGGCTCTAGAGACTCGAAACGCTGCACATAGGGATCTGCGTCTGCAGCTGCACCGGACCAGACTAAGTTGACGAGAATGATGTGCTGAATCTTATAAGCTGCGTCAACATGCTCCTCATGAAAAGGCGTACCTTGCGACCACTACTTTGGCGCAGCCATAGGACGAAGATTGCCAGTTCGGCAGGCATACTCTCATAGACGCTATTCAGCGTCCTGAAGACCTCGTCGCACTGATCTAGAGTGTACTCCAAATCCCAAGTATGGTGTATACCCCCATTTGCTTGCGGATATACCTGGAAGGTGGCTTCAAGTGCGATGCCAAAGTTATGACCTGCTCCCCGGAGGCCCCAGAAAAGATCCGGATGGGAGTTCTTGGATGCAACCACCATACTCCCGTCGGCGAGCACGAGCTTGCAAGAGATCATATTATCATTCAGGAAGCCGTATTTTCCTTGCAAACGTCCTAGGCCCGCCCCAAATGCTACACCAATAACCCCTGTAGTCGGGCACGATCCTACATCTTTGTCTCGTTAACAACACCACTCCAGCAAAGCGACACATGATACATACTAACTTCCATACCCAAGTCATGCACAAAGCGCACGAACTCATCAGTTATCGCTCCACCACCAATAGTGACATGGCGTTTCCCGGCATCCCATCGCATCTGGTTGAGCGGACGCATGTTGATACACATGCCATTCTGGAAGCGTCCCATTGTGGTCGTGACTGAATGATGGCCGCCACGAGGTGTAAACGGAATACCTTTTTCCCTCGCGTACTTGACGACCTCGATCACATCGTTTTCACAGACTGGATCGACAATAGCGAGGTACGTTGGACGCTCATACTGAGTAAAGCGCAGATTGGCTTTTTCGAACTCTGTTTTGTCCTCATCAAATGGTAGATGGACACGCGCCTTGTTCGATAGCTTTCGCTCAAGCTCGGTGCGAATTGTGACTGCCAGCGAGATGAGGTCATCGCCGCTTTGCTGACAACCCATGTTCTGGATATGTACCGGGGATCTGAATGCTAACCGAAAAATTTGATGATGATGCAGAGAGAGCTTGAAATATAAGGAGAAATTAGACCAAACAGAAGGTCTTGATATCAACAAAGTACTCAGCTATGGATGTAGTAGTCACTGGCCGTCGTAGTCGATGGAGACCTCAGCATACCAGCAGACCTACGATCGGCAATCTTGCGTGCTGATTGCTACGCAGGAAGAACTGACATACTTCTAGACCCATGTGCGTGTGTAGAGAGGCTCCACATTGCCTTGCACAGTTGCGTAGAACCCCTGCATCATTTTCCACTCAACCTTGGGTCAAGCTTTACCATATATCCACAGCACGTGGCCAAGCTTCACATAGTTATTTGCTTACTGTAGGTAGACCCACGTGGGGAAATGGTACCCGCAAATGTACACGCACCACATGTTAATGATCTGCACGATGTCTAACAGCCTGCACGTTATCTCGGAGAAGGGATCGGGCCGACCTGCAAGGGCCGAATAAAAGTCCGGGTCACCTGGACCGACATATGCATCTTCCCTCCAGAACACCTTGAGTAATCTTTGTATACACGTTTTCTTGCTGAGCGTGCAACAATGAGGAGGCCTTATTGGATACTTTTGCTCGGCACCATCACTCGGCGACTACGAGGCCTGAGGGCAGGGTGGGAGAATGCAGCGCTTCACTGAAGTCGAGTACTATCGAGACATGTCGCGGTAGATTTCCCCGCCAGTCTGAGCTGTCGCTAGAATTCTGGCTGAAGAATACTGTATCGTCTTTCTTCCGGGACTTGGAGCGCTGCATATCGATTTCGCTGTATTCTGGTGGTTCCATAGTATTCAGGTACTATGGCAGCATTTTCTGTACCCGGTGGCTTGTCACATCAGCTTGATCAATTGCCATCGTTGACATTTCAAAACATCATCACCGGTGCAGTTGTATTTGTAAGTTCGCAGAGGCTGCATTTCCTCCTGCAAAAGCTCACAAAAGTGCGCAGCCACTACTCTATATCTTGCTCAAAGCTGTTTACAATCTCTACCTAAGCCCCTTAGCTGGCTACCCAGGCCCAAAGCTCTGGGCCATCTCTCGCCTACCATGGAATCGCGCAAACATGAAGGGTCGCATCAGCTGGAAGATCCGCGAGCTCCACGACAAGTACGGTCCTGTTGTGCGTATCGCCCCAGATGAAATCTCGTATACGACATCTGGCGCGTGGAAGAAAATATATGGACAGCGAAATCCCGAGTTCGTCAAGGCTCTCGACGGCAGAGGCATTGCGCCTGCGAGTATTGGTGGCCAACGTAGCTTGATGACGGAGCACCAAGACAGACATCTGAGGCTGAGGAGGGCCATAGATCCTGCATTTAGTCAGAGAGCACTGTAAGTCTGGATGCCCTTCCTTACTCTGTAGGTGTTACTCCACCATACTGACTTCATGAGACTAGACGCGAACAGGAGAGCTACTTCCAAGACCACTCGGACAATCTTGTTCAGAAGCTGAGGCAACGGTGCAAAGACGGACCCCTAGATATGACTACTTGGTACAATCTCGTCGCATTTGACATCGTATCCGATCTGGCTTTTGGTGAGCCGTCAGGCTGCGTCAATAACCCTGATCAACCATGGATCCAAGCCATACTCGCTCGTGCCAAAGCCATTGTCTGGTTTCAGCTTGCCGTACAGTATGGATTCATGGGTCTTCTCAACTGGATGACACCAAAGTACGTTACTGAATCGAGGAAGAAACATATCGCTATGACTGAGGCCAAGCTTAAGGCGCGAGTTGAAGCTAAAAACCCTGGCAAAGACTTCATGTCATACATTCTCGAAAACGACGAGAAGCTCAACCACCTCGAACTGGTGATGCTCTCTTCCAACTTCATTGTAGCAGGTAGCGGCACATCTGCTGGTGGGATGTCCGGCTTGACGTATCTTCTGCTGCGCAACCCAGACAAGTTGGAGAAGCTCAAACAAGAAATACGCAGTTTGTTTAAAAGCCGCGCGGATATGACCCTTCAGGCGGTGACCAGCTGCAAGTACCTGCGCGCCTGTCTCAACGAGGGTATGCGTCTCTATCCGCCAACACCGGGTTCGCTGCCGCGACTCGTTCCTGGAAAGGGCGAGATGATTGAAGGAAAATGGGTTCCGGGGGGTTACGCTGTTGGTGTTAACCAGCTGGCGGCCGGCCACTCCGAACGTAACTTCAAGAAGGCGCGCGAGTTCCATCCCGAGCGCTGGCTCGACGAGCCCGACTCTAAGTTTAAGGATGACGATCGTTCTGCAGTTCAGCCATTCTCATATGGTCAGAGGGCTTGTATTGGAAGATCCATGGCCTATGCTGAGATGTCTCTCACGATGGCGAAGTTGGTACGGTATTTTGACTGGGAGTTTCACGACCCCGAAAATGATTGGTGGAACCAGCAAGGCACCTACCTGGTGTGGGAAAAGTTGCCTTTGCAGGTTAAGCTGACGCCTGTGTCCGACTTAGGTGAATAGTGACAGCATGATAAGAAGCTATAGGAGTGCTTACGATATATATGATGTATGGCTAGTCATGTAAATAGTTAGTAGCTGTACATGTAGATGCAATGTGACTGGACATGATCTCAAACAAGAGATAGCGAAAATAAGGTGCATCCATCATTAGAGTTGCGGTAGTGACCTTGACGGCACCCCTAGCTTTTTTTACTAGGGAAGTCAAATAGGCGGCGGCAGTCAGCACACAGACCAAGACTTTGAGCGGGCACAGATCCCATGTCTAGTGCACTACACGTGGGCCCGAATTGCTGCCCGAGAATGAATGGCTCGTTAGTGTATTTAAGTCGCCAGTGGCGCGTCATCCAGACGGCAGTACGAACTCAAGAGGTGTCGAATCGCCATCATTCAAGATGCAAATAATTCTTCCAATCCTAGTGGCGGGTATATTCCTCATCATTCATGTCGTCAATACTTTTCTCGTAAGACCCTTACAAACCTTCCTCAAGAGCCGCCGTCTCGGATGTGGCCCAGTGCCATTTGAGCCAACTCGATGGCCTCTGGGCATCGATACCGTACGCCGGAGCCTACAAGCCGACAAAGAGCAAAGAACGCCTGATTTTATAGCTTCGCGCTTTAAAACTATGGGTCGCTATACGTGGGGGCTATCACTGCTGGGGACATCGAACCTTATCACAGCCGATCCACGTAACGTACAAGCACTCCTCGCAACCCAATTCGATGATTTCGTCATGGGCACAGCGAGGAGAACAAATTTGAAGACGGCGCTTGGGCGCAGTATCTTTGCTGTGGATGGCAAAGCATGGCATCGTGCAAGGGAGACGATGCGGCCGATCTTCAGTAGAGAGAATGTTTCTCGGCTTGAGTTGCTCGAGGAACACGTGCAGACTATGTTGCAGATCATAGAGACGAGACATGAGGGATTGACGACTGATGCTGAGGACCGAGCATGGTCGGCACCTGTGAGCTTGGCTGTACTATTACCGCGTTTGACTATGGATTCGGCAACTGAACTGTTCCTCGGACAGAGCACACACTCCCTCAATACAGCACTTCTCAAACAGCAGCGAAAGAGTAGCAATGACGAAAACGATGAGTACAGTTTCGATCATGCTTTTGAGCGCATGCTCGCCATCTTAGGGACAAGAATGCGACTACGAAGTCTATACTGGTTATACGGCAACAAGGAACTCGAAAAGTGCATCAACACTCTTCACACTTTCGTAGACAGCGCCATAGATGCGGCTGATCAAGCGCGGAAGTCAGGCTCATCACAACTCCGCTACGACTTTCTCGAATCACTCCGTACGCGTTGTTCTGACCGTGCTGAGGTACGCGAGCAAGTGTTGGGCTTGTTGGCCGCGGGCAGAGACACCACAGCGTCACTTACAGCCTGGGTCTTCTACTGCCTAGTAAGAAGCCCAAGGGTGTACAGAAAGCTCCGCGAAACTGTTCTTGTAGAGTTTGGCCCTTACTCAACGAATGTTGGGCAGACGATAACATTCGAGAAGCTCAAGGGCTGCACATACCTACAGCATGTTCTGAACGAAACACTACGGCTACATTCAGTCGTCCCATTCAATTCTCGCTGCGCTGCACGAGATACGACGCTTCCTGTCGGCGGCGGACCGGATGGAAGCATGCCTGTGTTCGTACCTAAGGGTACCGAAGTCAACTTCAGTACGCATGTGCTGCACCGACGGAAAGATCTGTGGGGCGAAGACGCCGACGAATTTCTGCCTGAGCGATGGGAGAAGAGGAGGCCAGGAATGACTTGGCAATACGTTCCTTTCAATGGTGGACCTCGTATCTGTATCGGCCAGCAATTTGCCCTTACAGAGGCAGGATATGTGCTAGTAAGGATGGTGCAGAGGTATGATATTATTGAAGGTCTGGATATTGACATGAAGCGCGATTGGCATAACTTCACTGTTGTGTGTAGCCCTGGCAGTCCAGTGGCAAGAGATGCTGCGGTCATGTGCCGATTGAGGGTAGCCGTCGAGTGAGTTGTTGGTATGATCTTTATCGTAATTTGTTTACTTTTCCGGTTATTCCAACCGGTTGTTTGGTACTATCTCAACAATGAGTCCGGTATTGCGCCATGTTCTCCCCACAAATAGTACAGAACGCAATGTACGTGCAGGTATCGTCTTTTCCTTTTTTATCCAGACAGCTGTTGTATGAACACCGGGCAGCGAGTCATTGTAAAAGTCAACAACGACTAAAGCTAGCCAACTAAAGCGGGCCGAATGCGGCTTCAAGGTACCAATACCACCGAGGGCCTGAACTGCGGGGTGGTAAAAGCCGAAGACTGCATCTGCAGCTATATTAGATGCCAGAGGCTCAGAATAAATCAATGAACCACGTGTATACCTATCTGTTTCAATTGGCTCGTTATACTTACGGGAAGGGGAACATGTTCAACACCACTCCCTCGAGCGCGCGACGATGGACCTGCTGCTCCAAGACTCGAAAAACGAATCAAGGCGAGCAA